ATTCATAAATATTTACTAGCTTGTGGCGGATTTACACTTCATTAATGCTGCACACTCTACTTTATCGATGTTGAACGACCTATTACTTCTTGATCATTGTTGGAATACGTAGAGGAAAAAGTAACAGTTAGTTCACGATTCGTTTATGCTTCGTTCTATGCTTTATCTATATTAAGCAATCTAGTACTCATTAATCATTATTGCTGTAAAAATATAAAAGTAAAATTAACTTGAAGCAGATTTATCCTCCATTAATATTGCATGCTGTACTTTATCTATATTGAACAATTTAGTACTTCTTGATCATTGTAGAAATAAATATGAATAAATAGAGAAAGAGGTAACAGTTAATTTCTGATTACTCGCTAGAGGAAGCTTTCAAGCTCCACTTGTGCCTCGTTCTATACTTAATCCGTATTAACCAATCGAGTACTCATTGATCATTATTGTAGTAAGTAGAAGGAAGAATAGCATTGGGTTCACGATTATTTACTAAAGTGAGACAAGTTTTCCCTCAATTTTGGTAATGATCGTTAAACTACGTAAAAGGAAAAGTAATACTTTGTTCGAGATTACTAGATTGTGACAGATTTGCCCTCAGTTTTATATCGCATTCTCTACTTAATTCATACTATACGATAGGTACATCGTAGGCTAGATTTAGCACCTATAAAGTGATCAAGTTCAGTATGATTTTATACTATTCATAATAAACCATTTTTCAAAGACAAGAGAATTAGATGAAACAGACAAATTTAATTATTAAAAAAATTGAAGGATGCAAATGGTTATTTGAGAGGCAAAATTGAAATTAAATTAGAACATTTAAACTTGGAAACATTGCATTTTCTCCTGTAGATAATTATAGTAACGGTTGAATGAGTGGGAAAGACATTGAATAGTCATTAAGGACTCTATTTTAGCTTACAAGTTAATTCTACGCATTTATTTTGATTTTGTTAGTTATATTTTTCCACTAACACTTAATACAATATTTTAACTAGTTGTTTTACTATCATTTGTGTGATCAGCTGTAGTATAGTGTTGAAAATCGAGTATCCACTTTGACTAGCAAGTTACTATCATATATTTATTTATTTTAACTCTATCATTCGTTATTTTACTTTATATGAGATCTCTTTCATAAAGTATTTAAACTAGATATTAGTTATCGTTTGCATGATCAGTATTGGTGATGAAAATAGAAAATCAAATCTCCATTTTGATTAATAATTTGTTGCGGTACTACACATTTATGTAATTCAGTCATTTGTTGTTTCGCTTCATTGAGGATATTTTTTTACCACATTATGCTCCATATTTAGATTATCGTTTGTATAATCAGTATTGATAATATAGGTAAAAGTGAGTCTATATTCTGATTAATAACTTACTACTTTGTATTTTTTACTGCATCATTTGTTGTTTTACTTCATAAAAGATCTTTTTATATTTTATTACATATTTTGATTATCGTTTGTGTTATCAGTCTTGATAGCAGTAAGAATTAAAGTATTTGCGTTGATTAAAATGGACTCGCTTATCATGTAGCAAATGAAATGATGACCGTTGCTGACGTTTGAATTTTTAAATGTATCTTTGAAATAAATGAAGAAGAGTCAAAGTATATCGTCAGATAGTCCTTTACTTTAGTAGATTACTTACTTATTCAAAACTGGTATTAGTTATGTTTCTTTAATAGGTTAAAGTTAAATAGTTCATGTAAAAAAGGAAGCAATCGCTATACTGTTAGGAAGGCATTAACAAATCAAAGTTGGGAATATGACGTAAGAAATTAATTTAAAAATGGACAATTTCTATAGCCAAAAAGCCTTATTCTACGATAGCTATGAATTTACCTTCTTCTTTGAGTCGTTAATCAAGTTGATGATAAAATGCTTCAAAATTGAATATTTACATCTGAGTGTTACTGCATGAGTCCTGTTAAAACTTCCTTTTTGTAAGTTGACCATATATTAGAAAGGTCAACTTTTGATTTATTTAAACAGTTATATGCTCAAGCAAAGTGAGTTATAAACAATTACTTAATAGTTACTTTAATAACCGGTAGCTGCTAATGATAATTCATCCGGATTATAAATGGAAGTCAAATAATTAAAAAGATCCATTTAACACATGAACAATGTCAAAAGCTCGATTTAAAGTTATTATAGCGTCTCAGAACAAAGCTAATTGAGGACTTCCAGTATAGAAAAACATTACCTGAATTTGTTACTGCATGTTTTCAAAGTCACAATAGCCTTAGAATATTCAAGTTAAGACATAAACAGTAAAAAAAAAATACTGTATAAAGTTCATAGAGCCAAAAAATAGGATTTAAATATTTTGCTTAGCGAAAAGTTAAAAAATTCTATACTAAGTTACTTAAACTAATAAAAAAATGTTTTTTTCATTCATAGTTTAAAGAAACAAATATGTCGGATATTGTTGCTTCCAAAGTGCAAATATTTTTATTTTACAAAAGCCAAATTAATTTAATGCGATATTTATTAAAAAGATAAACACTTTTTTTACCGACCCAAATGTAAGGTACCTTGTAAGACTCTTCATAGCGTAAAAGTTAAGAATTCTGGTATGATTATTTTGGAGATCATATAAGTATCAAGTTATGCTTTTTCACAATAGTTAAATTAATTTAATTTATCAAATGTAAAGATGGACGCTTTCATGGGATCAAATGGAAGATATCTTGCCAAACTTTAAGAGTGAGAAAGTTGAATATTGTCCCGTGATTATTTTAGGGATCATGTAACCCTTCAATCATGTTATTTTTTCACAAAAACTTAATTAATTTCCTTAATTTAGTATGCCATAATAAGAGATTAGCACCTTTTGGATACAAACGGAGATACCTTGTAAAAACTCTAGTTGCATGAAAGCTACCTATCGTAGTATGATTATTTTGGGATTGTGTATGCGTTAAATCATGCTATGCTGATTGCTGTCTTGACAAGGCAGATCTTTGGCCATTTTCGTCTGGTCCGCCATAGTATATGCAAAGTAGATAACTTTTGTTATTAGGATTTTGCAGCACCGGGTAATCAACATAGTAGAAATATGTAAGAAGCACGTTTGATTTCACTACCAGGTATCTTGGTATAGCCAAAGTTTAAGCCCAATCTCTTTCAGTACAAAAAGAATATTGTTATTCGAAAGATTATTTATATTGATACCCGTACATATTACTGTCAGAGATTTTCTGACTTCACTACGGATTGCCCTGGCTTAGCTACTTTTTTGCCAATAGTCTAGGATTAGGATATCGGTAGTCATTAATTTTTATTAAGGCATAAGAAGTAGTCTAAACACCAGCAACTACTTACAATACCAAATATTTTTATTTATTATAATTTGATAAATTTTTCTAAATAGTTTACATATTAATATCCTTTGATGGTAATGAATTGATAACTACCGCCAGAATCGAATAATATTACTCTTTACGTGTTATGCTTTAATAATAGTTGCTGATCATGGATGATTGTTATACTTTGATATGTTACATCGCAAGCATTTCATGATTGCAAGCTCGTATGCAAATTTCGACTATTTATTCCGATGCCATTGACGACAGTCACAATAACAATTATATCATGATCAAGGATTTAAGACCGTTAGCGTTAGGATTGTTCTCTATTCAGGCTTAGATAAAGAAAGCAATTGGTATAGGCTGTCAGCCAGGTGTTTATTAGCTGATAATGCTGATATTCATAGTGGCGTAAATTAGCTTATATATGAAAGATAAATGATTAGATGAATAATTGACGGATATCATGTGGTACGTCATCACACTAAAAACTAGGCAAGATACTACTATGGTAAAAAAGGATAAAAGTTAAGGCGTAAAATTGTAGTAAGAATACAGCAATTTAAAACATTGTAACTACAAGATGGAAAGTTTATTTCAGAAAGGATCATTTACTAGCAACCCGAAGGATTTAGTATATATTAGCGAATTGTTAGAATAGGAATGTTTACTGTCACTATGCGAGTTCTATATCTCATTATTATATAGATATTACATCAACATTAATCATGTAATCAGGTTATTAGAATATAATCTACATCATATGGGTGAGAAATAGTTACAATAATTAAATATAACTAGAAATTTATACTTTAATGTTCGCATGGATGATCAAGGTAGATCTAATTTGAGTTTTTTTGCTTCATAGATAGCCTTACGAGTACCAGGACTACTACCAGAGATGACTATTATGAAATACTTAAATTAATAATTATACCTAGTCCTATTTTACAGATTAATTCTTATTATCGAATTAATAATACAATAGTCTCAATGAAGGTAAAAAACATTCGATTAAATATGCATGAAAATCTCCGGAACATGATATAACTTGTTCATGGCAATAATCTTTTTAGCTTAATTAGTTTAAAGACATCATTGCTGTTGGCATTATTATTATTTGATTATAAACATCTACATTAGTAATATAAGTTTTTAAATTTTGTGCTCCAACTTACTCTCCATGCAATTAACTGATTTCTATGGAGTACACTAACAGCGTTATTATAAACATAGCATACGAGTATGCAGCGATGGCTGCCTGATTGATAATAATACTATACTAGTATAAAATTGTTTTGCTTTGTTTGCTTACACAATTAATAATTTCTATATAGAGCTAGTTACACAACATTAGTCTTAAAAAATCTAGAGATGAAAGATGGAATACGGTATTATCGTGTAATCACTAGCTAGTTAAGTTTGGCAGCTAACCAGATAGAGAATTTGTAGAAATGATTTGTTGCAGTTATCTAAGTAATCTTGTATCGATACTTTACGAAGCCAAAGACGATTTTAAATAGATTGAATGGATACAAGGAATAGCTTAGATTTTGGGGAACTATAGTTGCCAGTCTTGAACAAATGCTGTACTACATCCATAGGCAAACTCTACAGTTTCGAGCATTCTAGATAGGTAGTCGACAGTTGTATGAAAACAATATTATAATAATCAAAGTTCGTTAGAAAGTTCTAATAAATTTCCATCAGGATCACGAAAATAAATGGATAAAATAGGTCCATTGGCTCCAGTTCTTTGAACAGGACCTTCTTCTAGGCGAATACCTTTGCTTTCTAAACGGGTTTGTATTAATTTGATAGGCTCGGATGTAATAAAACATAAATCGCCACTACCAGGAGTTGGATGGTGAGCTTTCGGCTCGAATTCATTTCCATATTGATGCAAGTTGATTTTTTGCTGGCCAAATTTTAAAGCCTTTCGATCACCTTTAAATGTTATTAGTTCCATTTGTAAATAACGTGTATAAAATGCACAAGTAGCTTGTACATCACGTACCGTTAGAACCAGATGATCCAGTCTTTTAATCATCTCGATGAGACTTACGATAGTATTGTAGTAAGTGCTAATAGTGTAATAGAGAATGAATGGATGAAGATCTTTTTCTTATTTCACGATTGCTGATATCCTAGATGGTAATCTACAAGAAATAACCGCCAACTTGTAAGATTTGATAAGCTTTGATTGCTTGAAAGATTTGATCTATTTTCCTCAAATTCGTGATCAATACCTAACCTACATTCATAATATGATCAGTTATCACCTGTATGATGATCGTCTACGAGAAATAACTCCTTAATTTGTAAGATTTGGGTATAGATATATGGTAAACTGTGATGGTTTTGAAAGATTTGACTAACTTTCCTCAAATCGGTAATCAACGCCTAGCCTACGTTAATACTTCGAAGTATGACTATCTGTTAGTCGTATAAGATACCGTACAAACTTTAGAGTGGCCAAGATCGAGATGATATGGATGATTGCAATCACTAAATCCAACGCTATAACCTGAGATGATCTACTTTCTGTGCGTAGAGCAATTGAGTCGTCTATAAGTAGAGTACTTTGGTTAAAATAAATAAATGATCATAAAATAATTAGTACAACAGCAAATTGCTCTCGGGTGCTGTCATAATATGGTGTCATATGTCCATAGGGCTGTGTATGAGACGCTATATTAAAACGTAGATAGTATCCATGCAATGATGAGAATACAGCAATTACACCGTGGTATATACTCGTATCGCACTATTAATGTAAGAGCATCTATTAAATGGCCAATATTTACTATGCTTGGCTAGAGTTTAATACCGCAGTCTACAGTAGATGCATTTCTTGAATTCATCATGCGTCGATAAAACTCCATATGTTAATAATGTTATACGAAGTTGCATATACAGCATACATTCCTATACAGGTTGCCTCCTAAAATAAAGTCTGTGTAATAGTACCAAATTGCTGATACAGCATTCGTTCCTATATAGATGGTCTTCTAATAAGTGCAAGTTGATTCGGAAATCCGCAAACTTTAGCATGCTCCTGGCAACAAATATGTCTAGTAGAAACCGAAAACACTAACTACTGTACCAATCACAAAACTACTCCTACTTGCTGTAGAATGTAAGAGTACTTTATACTTTACAGCATGCAGGAGCAGTTCTCTTAGCTGAACAATTCCTGATAAATTCATACCTGACTAGAATTTTCCCACCCACTGCTTTAATTAAAGACGCCTAGCAGGAAAATTTGAATCGTCTATTCATTGTTTATTGTACAGTTAATTTTTTGCTTTATCAATCTGTTAAACTAAGTCCAATTCAAACTACTTCTATTTATACTATTAATAATAAATAGTATATATATATGCTAAGTATATTTATCGATTAATACCGAGAAGATAGAGGCTACAGTCATTTTCCAAAAAAGACTTTCGTAATATAGTATGTAATGCGACAGGCTGCACAAAATGGAATGTTCTGCAATGATGTATGAAGAAGCATGCAAAATTGGCCTTCTTAGTTACTGATTAGGGAAATAAATTAATGACCATCTTTTAAATTCAAGTAAATAATTTTCTTAGCTTTTCAATTGATCACAGGTTATCAGCTTAACTTTGTTATGAAATATGGATATTTATTTGCCATAATCTCAAAAAGTTCTTAGTATCCGATAAGAAACTGTTTAAGTACATTACATAAATGCAATACTGAAGAAAGTAATACTGCATGATTCCACTGGTAACAATATTGGGCCCATCCTTCATTTACGATATATTTAATAACAGACCAAGACAGATTTCGCTATTTCCTATGATGATTTATGGAAGACCGAACATTGCAGCTGTTAACCGCTGATTATCTCTCTAAAGCTAAAATATTTCATACAGATTCTACTTGAAACTGTACATACATATAGTGGAATGCAGATATGTCTAGTGACATGGACTTCGTGTAAAATCTAGAAGTCCATGTAAGTGATAACAAATAATAAAATAAAAAGAAGAAAATTTACAAAAGTCGTGATGTTAACATGAAATTTGGTAGTCATTTAGTATAGATAAACAATTAGTATATCATGTAAATGCATTACTTGGATAGAATATTCTTATCTTATTACAATAACAGCTGAAAATTTTTATTTTACAATTTCTACGTTCTATCTAGAATATCCGGTAACTAAAATAATTTTTTCATTTAAATCAAACAGTTAGTAAATTCTAATGAACAGTAATTTAGGTAATCTGTAATTTCAACATTAATTAAACTAGTTAACGAACTCATCAATCGTAGTAGCATCAACGGTTATTATTAAAATTCCCTACCATTCTCTTAATACCAATGCTCTAACAACTTTAATATCATTTGAATTTACTAGATAAGCAAAATTCCAGTAGAAATTTCAATAAGTCTACATATGTTGAACTTCCATTATCATTGCCATCGATGGGTAATACGTAAGATTTTCGTACGAACTAGAGGAAATATTTATTCAGCGTGATATTTCTTCGGTATGACGTTGATCAGTTGATTGAGAAATACGAAACGTTTAACCTTGTTAAAAATAAATAGAAAGATTAATAGTACGGACAAGTACTGAACCCATCCCCATTTAATGAGCTGCCAAAATCCAGGTCGAAAGATTATGGTCTCTTCTGGATAATAAATTCTTCCGCTTATATTAAATGCTTGTTCTGGTGCCTTTCCTGAGACCCACACCGGAGAATGCGATATGTAATTGGTTGTTTCTGTAAGATATGTTAGTAAAATGTATAATTAATTCATGTTATTTGATAAGAACGAGTGCATAAAATTTACTACTGTAAGCTTACCATTTCTAGTTGAATATTCCGAAAAAATTGAGGATAATTTCCATGACGAGGTATAAATACTTGAACTATTTACTACAGGCTTCTAAATGCAATAGACGTAATAAAGTACGATGAATTCGATACGATAGTGTTAGCTTATGTAAGTGTAAATTTCGATCATGCATCTTACATTGTTAACGGAATAAATTCCAGAACTAGGCAAAGGATACTTTTGGTGAAATCGTAAATCTCCTACAGTATAAAATTCAGCCCCAGCTACTGCGGATGAGTAGTGAATGTAGGCCATAGATTCCATAGTAAAGGTTGGATATTTCTGTTAATAGAATTAATATTGTAAATCAATGTTGTAATCACTATAGAATTAAAACATTAAATTCGTAATACGGTATGTAAGGTATTATTACATATAATCTATAGTCGAATGTGAATAGTAATTGAAGCTGGTAAACTGAGTCAGTTCCAGTCATTGGTACTTCAATCGTAAAGTCGAGGTAGTCGTACAGGCCATCGCGATTGCTGTCTGTTTCTGAAGTCTAATTGGCAGAAAAATTTAAGCAGCTTTTTATAAATTAGCGATTTAGATAGAAGGTATTTATAATTTTGGTATGCTTTTACCTGAACAAGCGGAACTCTTAGCTTGCTTTCCATTAACAAATTAAGATTTCTATACGTACTCCAAATTAATTGTGAATCAGGAGTATCGCCCTGCAAGACCATGATTATGTCATGCTTAAATCGTACATCAGGCTGTTCTCTGAAAGTGCTTTCTCGGATCCAGAATCCTTAATACATAAGTAGCGATGTAAGTATAGATTATTGTGTATAGCTGTATATATGCGACGGATACATCAGAAATTTCAGCTAACTGTAGTTACTCTAGACTAAATTATACAGTCTCGTATGGTTCAGCCTCTGCAGTACATTTACAAGAAATTGGATTAGCATAGATATGTCATAGATTGTAACCTTATAAGATAGCCTAAATCAGAAATATTTTGGTAAAAAAGGATATTTGATACAAATTTTACTGGTATAGTAATATAAAAAGTAGTGGCAATAAAACTATATAGTTGTAGTTATTAGAGTTCCGAAATATCGGTAAATGCGCGAATATTAAGTGTTGTACACCACCGTATCTGTATCTTTGTGTGTATTAGTTCGTAAATAACTAACTTATTAGATTTTATACAGTAATGTAACTAAGGTAATTCTTACAGTGAAAAAGAGAACTTTATGTAACTGTGAAATTCTTATAATCTGAAAAATACTATCACATAAGCCAACTTTAGCTTAGTAAATAGTGGATGGGTCAGAATAGCGCATAACGTACAGTAAGTAGTGCGCTTTACGATGGTAAAGTATAGAACGATCATCTCCTATGGATATTACATGATTTTATAGCATATACGACATGATAATAACGTAAAAGCTTCTGTATTGCTTCATCTTATACTATATTGTATCCTATTCGACATTACAGAAGTTTTATAGAATGTGTATGAAATTATTTCAAATATCGTCATTACGTTTTCTAGAAATTTTAACTCGGAATTATTCTCGCTAATACTTTCGTTAGCCTTACCTTGACTATACCAAGCTAAGATTAGCGGTGGAATAAAGGTTAAGATAATACAACATAGCAAAAATATGGTAGCTTTGGAGCAAACACTTGCCGTGTAATGTTGATAAACCGGGCTACTATAAACAGTATAAACCGCCATGACTGCTAGAAGATTTCCATGGAAATATTCCACTTTTGCGCCTGCGTATTATAGTCAAGTACTCCATGTTGATCATTCTCTCCCTGACAATAGTTGGTTGTAGTAGACTGTAGTGTCTAGTTTCTATCAATAATGATACTATATTGTGCTCGTAACAGCGCTCCCTGGTTATACTGTAGTTATTGCATAGAATTGAGAGGATGTTTATGTATGATGCTGAAGTTTAGCTTCAGTTATTGGACGTGCCTAAAGGCTATGCACAATTGAGCAACCATGGATACTGTTAGCACCTGGATTTGTTGCTGAAGCCTTGGAAGTAAGAAATTGTAGACTTATTTTGCTCTTTCTCTATGCTTTTACCTGATATGGAGGAAACGAATGCTCAAATCTTAAAGTGTGTTGTAAAGTAAATAAGTTAGCTAAAATTGTTATGTGGCAAGCTAGCCCAGAAGCAGATGCTGATTTTGCTGAAAGACTAGGTTCGTTATGCCTAAATTTCTACCGATGCAAGCTTAAGAAATCAGGCAAACCGCAAGCTGGTCGAGAATGGACTGTTATGGCCGCTATTGTCAAATCAGAAGCTGTATCTCTTCGCGGATCGCAGGCCAAAAATGGTACAGATTGAGAATAGAACAAGTTGAAAATATCGTGCATGCAAAATTGTAATCATGAATAAATTACATTCTGTAGCTGTACCTATCGTAACTAGAGTTGAAATCGTGATAAATATGTTAAAGAGTCAATCCATCATTAATCTCTTACTGCTACAGTCATTACTGTATAATATCACTTTTATTAATACATTTATTACCTTGGTATCGATATTACTGAGGTTTTCTGAAGAATACAGCTTCATTTTTTAGACTTAAAATAATATATTCCGATGAATCAACAATATCTATATCGTAATAATGTTTATTTCGTATTCTTACTCCTAATTACCATTATTGTCAAATGAAATTAAGAAATGACTGTTGTAGCAATGGGAACTGGATCGAAATGCTTAGGAAGAAATCAAATACCGGCTGATGGTAAGGCATCAATTTACGAGGTTACTTTGATCAATTATATAATAATGATGACTACGCGTATATGAATATTTTATCTGTGAAGTTTGATGCGGTTTATTATTTTTCTTTTTAAGGTGGTAGAGTAAATGACAGCCATGCGGAGGTTCTTGCACGAAGAGCATTCTTAAGGTGAAAGAATGAATTGCTATACAATTTTTATACGAAAGTGACGTTCAGTATAAAGTTTTTGTATTATAATGACAAATTTCTAAGTATCAAGCTGAAATTGTTTTATATTATTATTGTAGATATCTGTACCATCAACTGAGTTTAACCAAGTCTGATAAGAAGAGCATATTTTGCTATAATTCTGAAAAAAGATTTTACCGGTTACGAGACAATGTAACTTTTCACCTATTCATTAGCCATACACCATGTAAGATAATGAAAACGATAACATCTAAATATTTACTTATTTCGTATTATATGGTTCATTATATTCGTACTTCTGTATTTGTAAATATCCTTTATAGGTGGTGACGCATCTATTTTTCCAAAAGGACCAGAAAGTGTAGGAGATAAAGAATTTATTGATATTTTAGAATGTAACTCAAATATCAAAAGGCCAATTGATAAAACAGAAAATGAAGGAACTGTTATAGGAAATAGTATTTATAGAAGCATTCCAGATGTCGAACGCGGCAGTGTCAATAAGAAGTTACGCACTGAAGATACAGAAAGTAAGAGGGATGACTCTTTTATTGAAACCGGCTTAGGTAATGGTATTTTGCATTATCAAGCCAAATTATCTAAAGAGTTGCGTACATGGTCTGATAAATTCATGGATATATATCGTACTGGAGCAAAATGTGTCCCTCGAGCAGCTCAAGATCCCTGCCTCCCTGGTGTAAATTATCATGTATTAGGCGTAGTCCGTACTAAACCAGGACGAGGAGACCCTACTTTATCAACATCCTGTAGCGATAAAATTGCAAAGTGGAACGTCCTTGGTTTACAGGGGGCTTTGTTATCGCACTTTATACACCCCCCTATTTATCTATCATCGATTATTATCGCAAGTTGCCCTTATAGTGAAACAGCGCTCAAAAGAGCAGTGTATGATCGCATTCTGAATATTAATGATTTACCTCAAGGATACAAAGTCAATGAGCCGTTACTATTACAAATTTCTAGTGTCTTTGAGGAATGTAAAGCAGAAGTTATTAAACGATGTAATGACAGAAGCTCCTTGCAACCCTCGATATGCTCTTCAGGTATTGCAGTAGTTGAAATTTACTTCTTTAAATAGAATAAGAGTATGATTCATATGATATCTTATCATCTTAGGTATAATATGGTGTAGCGATGATACGTGCCAGCAGCAGGTGGTAGTTGATGGACGACGACAAGGGTTTTCAAAAAAAAATGCAGCCTCTCCAAAAGCAAGGTTAACATCACGGCTTAAACTTATTTCAACTAGATCCTTACACAAATGATATCTTCTAACTTGTATTATGTGAACACATTACATGAAGGTGCTATATTTGCAAATACGAACTTTTTAAATCATTCTTGAGGGCCATTAAATCGACTAATGCTGATAATATACCAAGAACATTACAGTAAGGATGTTAAATTAATTTACTCTGTCATTTTGTGCAATCTGGACTGCAAGCTTTTTAATTTCTTGATACTAGGGATACTGAACTCACGACTTACATTCACTACAAAATAGCATCTGCAGAATATCGCCGAGCCAGAGAAAAATTTTTCGAGAGATTTCCTTACTGGCCTAGGAAACCAACATCTCTTGAATCTTTTTCAGTTGATTTAGCTGATAATGTGACTAGTCATAATGAAACTGTATAATTAAGAAATATTTTACTATTTATATTTTGTTTTGATAAAAATATTTTAGCTTCTATTTTCGATTGTTTTATATTTGTATATCCGGAAAAATCGTAATACAGTTGGGTAAATTTATGGACGGTGTACATAGATAGATGAAATTCAATGCGATTATTCCTATAATCGATAATGCCACGTAATGTTTACTTTTGCTAATCAGTTTTAAAAACTTTTCACTGAATAAATGTAATAATTAGGCTTGATTGTGTTACTAGACGATATTTTGACCGATTTTACGTTGATGTACATGTAACTTATTAATTCCTACGTGGATACATTAAGGTAACTTAATTGATGGATGTTTTACGTGAGAGATCCCAATACGAAAAAGAGTCAAAGGAATTGTACGTCACGAAATGAATGTTTTAATTGGATTCCTTGGATCTTTATTATAGTGACATTACTTCTGTACAATCCAAATTACCTCACTTGCATGTGCTACATCTGCGACTGATATCATCTAAATAGCGTTTGTAAGATAGTTATTAGAACACAAAACGTCTAAAATGTCTTACAGGTTACCATAGTTACAGAGAATTACTGCTATTGAGCCATAACTAACTTGTACGTAATGAATAACATTTCTCTATCGGCGTAGTTAGGATATAAGTAGCAATCAGTGAGAGCTTACAGTAAACTCGACTTGTCGACTTGTGAATAACGAAGTTTTCGTAGTTGCAAATGTATTCACGAAATGTCTAGATATAGCACTAGTACACAAACAGATGACAAGTACTGAAGCAATCGGGAATGTATTACCGCTGGAATTGTGTATTATTGCTAATACTCGTTGACATTTTAAAACGTAGAAACTCATCAGAATGCAGGTAAACATTTTACTACCACAATTTTAAATGTACGTAGTATTTCTACACAATGTAATAGCAAGTTAGATATAATGCAAAATTAATTCTGCGTACAAATCCTATAACAAGTAGTCAAGTACTAAGTAATATTATAATGATAATCATTAATACCGCAGGTATAAATCCTAACATTGTCTAGACTTTAGGAGTTGATAAATGTTATTGCGTGCGTCGATGTCGAAGGTAGCTAAATAAAGTAATATAGTATAACCTATACAGTATCACTGAATTAATTTAATTATAGACGATTGTTGTTCATGACTAGGAAAGTAATAGCTTTCATTCAGCTGATTCTAATAAAAGTATGATTCAGTAACAATGTCCTTTTTTTCTGTTCGTGGTCAGGTAATGTTTTCGGTACAGGCTTAATCGGTACCAAAGGTATTTTCTCCGCTATATGCTATGTATAGGAATCCATCTTCATCTTTATGTTCTTCATAAATTGCACCCATTGTCGAACTAAGACATACAAGATGATAAAGAAAATTATCAACTGCCTTATATTCAATGAAACTGCTGATCGATCACAGCATTAGTATAACAAAGCTGTATGAATATAGCCATGAAATTAAACAAATAATTTAGTTAACACATTAATTGTAATCTATTCTCACCAAGCGCACATCATTTGGTGACAAGATGAAAGAAATGAAAACTTTATTTACTAATTGGTTAAAGTCAAACTTGTTGGACGATTCTTAGTATAATTTAAAGTATTAGGAAAAGTATAGATAGGCGTGCCTGCTATATGCTGCAGATAAAGAATACAGTAAGCATAGCATCTGCATTACTCTACAGTGTACAGGCATAAGTGTTTTATAGCACATTATATAATAAGTGAGACGCTAGGAGGCAAAGTTTGATTTACTATCATAGCTGTTGCAAAATATAATAAATACAGCATCGATTTTAATACGTGTAGCTTAAAAACAACGTCAATACACATTTTATAAACATGAGATGAATGGTACGGTAATTTTAACACAATTTCATAATGTACCTTGTTGTTGGCAATATCTTGTTGACAAACAGGAACATAGCCTTTTCTGGAGGTAGTTGAATTCTTTTCCTGATGATATACATAAACTGGGCAACTGTTTTATGAAGAAGTGTACAGAAGAAAAAATGTTAGGACTGACTGGTGTTACATATGTCTTCACTCATTTAAACATCGCAAGGGCAACAAGCTTATTTACATGTACTGTACAGTACTGTATAACAAAATCATGATTAGAATTTTATATCCAAAAATATCGATCAGAAACGAGTGGATAATCTTTCCAATGATAATTATTATAATAGGTGCACTTTTATCGAGCAGTTACATGGGCATTTTTAGCTCCTTCAAATCTACTACTACGCCTATTTTAATAGTAACTGCAAGGATATAATTTTAGTCAAAGCATGGTTCTAGTTGGTCATTTTACAGTATTCTACCGAGCGACTGTATACTACATATTTTATACTGCAAACAGATACCAGTCCAATACACTACAGTAGACTATATGACATCCATACATAGACATGTAAGCATTGAGATGTTTCAGGCATGGTACTGTAATGTATGATTATAATAAACTTTTTTTAAAATTTCAATATGACTGCCTACTGTAAACCATCATGTCGTCCGTATGTTCGCTTGTTTTTCTAATAACTAGTATAACTGGGGCTCGTTCTACTTCGCGTACGCTAGTAATGTGATATCCAACATTCAAGCAGTTAAAAGCAGATATCTATTTCTTTGTACGAGTAGAAGCGGAAATATAAATCAGGAAATTTAAACTATTTAACCAAACGCCATCAAGGTCCCCAATCTTTGTTGGAAAATAAGAGTACATACTGTCTAGTACCGTACGATAGGTTTTCATAAGATTGCCGATTCGTTTGAACTATTGTTAAAGTAATAACATAATTAATAGGCAATATGCCCGAGTTTCTACCTGTCAGATCCGATGGCACTAAAAATTTTCTTTTATCGATATCAGGGATACTAGACTTTGCTGCTTTTTCAACCACCACCTATTAAAAGACAAGTATAAAAATTATTGTATAATTAATGATAGAGAAAACATGGATGGAAATGGCGCAGTCCCCTAGTATTGAACGGTATTCGATCTACAGTACATTACTTTAGTTCAAGTTTGGATTTCAATACAAGTAAATGAAAACATGCAGCATTCATACAGACTATTGTACAGTATTACAGAATACAGTCTACGTGTAGGGGGATATTACATTCATCAAAAGAGAATGACGGAAGTCATAGAATTGTCTTACCGGGATTCGGTCTGGGTATTTGGCTCTAATTTTCGCCGATTCTTGTCGCCTTTGCTCTATAAAACATGAATGAAAGCGTCCTTTACTATGATGAATTTGACGCTCGAAAAAAGAGTTGGTTATCTATGTCGCGTCGCGAACTGTACTAATTTGCACTCTGACTTAAAGTAACTTCAAATCGATATCAAACCATCTAGCTTCGAGACACATAAAGACTTTCATTCTAAATAACCTAATGTGTGTTCTTCTTTAAACTGCCACTTCATTCTGATTCTTGTTCACTTTCTCTTGATCAAAAAAAAGTCAGGATAAATATTATGACGATAACAACAATTTCAGCGTTTGAGTAAAATCAAGATACACGTCAAAGCAGTACTCTACCGTACTGTACTGAGTTCACACCGTCCAACTGCACCTTTACGCCTGACCAGCAGTTTTTAACTAGCTTTCCCCACAATACGTCATACAGTATAAGATCGGGACGGACGACGGTACGCGTAGTGTTTTGTACCATCTACGGTACTGTAGATCATCTGTATCGTTGGACTCTACTAGCTCAGTCATGCCTTAGCGTTGTAGACTGGAAAGCAGTCACCCCTCATCTACAGTAATGAGTATGGAGTGTCCCTACGGTGTAGTACAGTACTATATACTGTACATTACAGTACTCGGTATGGTACTCTGGCTACTGTACCTGTCTACTGAATGTACTGTACGTACGGTACGGTACAAATGTTCATCAAACGAAACAACATGGGGTAGTCCAAATCGATGTTGATATTCGATTCTACTACAGCTATTGACTAATGGTTAAATAATGTGTACTCTTCAACTGTATTCATCAGCAAACATATGTTCCTTTTTTATACGAGCGTTGGGTCTGTATAATGTAGCCCGATTGTCTCTCTTTTTCTTAGCTGTTATATCGAATTATTCGTACGTTATTTATTAATTATCTGTTGCAGGTGCGGCTAAATGTTTGCATGTACGACGCCCCGTAGTGGTTCTAATTATAGAAGCTGATATTACCAAGCTGTTACTAAATTTTGAATGGTTATCTAGATGAACTTTTCGCGAGATAATATGCTATTACCATTTTAAATGGAGGGAAAAAATCCTATACCTTCAATGCCTGTAGGAGCACATAATACAATGTACGAATATATATACATCTACTCTATTCATTTTTGAGGATAGTCGAGATATTTATAGTTACAATGATTTCTTTCCTTAATAACCTCTTAATAAAGTCATCTCCATACTACGCATATTTCCTATTTAACCTAACTCTCATGCCAATTTTGGCAGATCTCATTCTTGCTTGGCATATCTCTCAGTCTATGATAACTTGCTGTATACTTGTATGATTAAATGTAAAGGTGATCTTTATCATTTTAACCCATTAGTTTGTATAACCGTTTGTATCAGCACTTCTAATTCAGAAGATATGCAATCTGCAGATACTAGGCAGTGCAGTGCTTGACTTCAAAATAATATTAAAATATATATTGAACTTAAAATAAATAAATGCCAGTACTAGTTACGAAAATAGATAACTTGGAAGTCAGAACATTAAAAGGACCAATTTGTAAAGTGTACAGCAACAGTCTCTGTTATTGACTAAAATCTCTCTAGGATCAGCAGTACTGTCTATATGCACTGGTTGTACGAATATCTACAGTAGAACGTCGAGTCGAATACTAAAATTTCGATTTCAATGCGTGCATGTTGATGAAATCAAATAAAAGTGATGATTCATTGATGATCCTAATAAGATGACATCATCGATAAATGCAGTACTGTACTGTACAGTGTACAGTGCACAGTACACTTTACAGTACTGTACTGTAAGCAATTCTATGGTTGCTCTGTACTGTACTGGATTCGGGACTTCTGAGTTCGTCTTTCCGTCTGAATTCTGTTAATACATTACATTATAGTCTCTAGCAGGAACGAGCAAGAACAGCAGTTTACGGTACTGCACTGTATATCTCCACTGCCTGTATGGGTGTAAACCGTGACTGACAGCAGTAACCATAGCACTGCAGCAGTTGCCTATTTCTGTTTCAATGAAAATGGCAGAAAACGACGGAGAAGTTTCAGAATTGCAGCAGCTACTCGATAGACATAAATTAGAAAGGAAAGAACTGCAAGGTAACCTCGTATTGATTATATAGGATTAACTCCAGCTTGGATTTATACTGTATAGCTTATAAGCTCAATCACTATCGTACTGCAGACGTGCACAGCTGGAACTGTTGCTAGCAAAGATATTGAGCTCTATACAGTACTGATCCATAAATGCGTCAACTGTGCACAGTTTGGAAAGTAATAAGAAAGGTAGAGAAATTGGGCTATTGTTGCGGATGGATATCTTTAAAACTTTTACTCAATTATTCAATAGCTAAAACACAGAAGCTGAAACATGCTGTTCCTAAAGGTGACAAGAAAAAGAAAAAATTCGTTTCAGCTGAAGTAGCACAGCTGGAATTGGAATTGACTCAGCGTCACGAAGCTGAATTAAAAGCTCTGAAAGCACAATCCCCAGACACTCAAGTTCGTATCATAATGCTACATTTGAATGACAAATTATATGAAATTTACTCGATATAAATGGATAATTATGATATCTGCAATTGTGCTATAGACAGTATAATTATATGTATATATTAAGTCTCCAGACATCTTGTAAATAGAGATTGAAGATGATTACTACGGCTATATTGGGTATTATAAACTAATTGTAACGCTATCGTAGGATGAAAATAATTTGGAGATTTCAAATTCTAATGAAAAGAATGAAAAGAATACTTCTACTGCAAGGATATCAAGGGCTGAAAAGAGGCGTGTACGTAGAAACTATAGCACTAAGTTCTGAGATGTAATAGTCTTGTCTGTAAATGTCACAAATACTACACCTACGTGTACGCATATAGGTCTTTTAATGTGCACTCCTTTTGTGAACATAATAAAGTATTTCATACACGTTAGGAAAAGCAAGCAGCTAAAGAACGTGAGCGGCAGCAGAGAATTACTGAAGCTGAAGCAGAAAATATTAATTCTGATCGAAATTTAGAAATTCGAAAGTTTCAAGATATACAAAACAAATATAAATTGATAATGTTTGAGGTACGACGTCATCCTTTCTATTTGTATCAAGATATTTACTCAGGCAATACTTTACTTCTTCTAGGTACCCCCTGATGGAAATTGGTTAGTATCAAATAAAAGTGATACCTGCAAAGACTTACAGTGTCTACTTTACTGAACACCTGAGATAATCTTTCGTCTTATATTTAAGTGTCAAATTAGACAAATTTATCGATTAACTGCTATGCTTTTAAATAGAACAGTAAAATTCGTTAAATTTTACTTGTATTTCATTTAGTTTATATTATGCTATTTCCGACCAACTCGATACTCGCTTAGGAACTAAGGTATCAAAGTAAATCATACACTTATTACATAATGCGGTGCCTCCATGGCATCCCTCAATTGAATAAAAGCGATAACAATTTGTTGTTCTAAGGATACTGAAATAATTAATAATAAATAGTCTAATCCTTCATATAAAAATTTATCTGGCTGTAGGCAACAGTTAGCGATCTTCGACAACAAACAGCTGACTATATGGTAGCCCATGAAAGCGAATTTGTACCTTTTATAGCTTTGGATGGAAATGATAGCTCTCTTGCATCTGGTATAGTACTTTTGTGCTTTGACAAATTTAATATTGCAAATAATGATTTTAAAAAGCTTCGTATATCGAGTTCAGAAATTATTCCGCAGTTCTTAAAAATTTTACGAAATGTTTACATGTACTGTATGCTTCTAACTTGATCGTACAGAAGAGTTTAAATCCTATTGCCAAAATATCACTGAAACAGCAAAGTGGGGTGGTCAATTAGAAGTAAGATTTTCGCACTGTGATTACGGTTCCTTATGCATGGAATATTAAATGTCACTGAAAAAATTGTGAAATGTAATATCATCTACAGTGTAACGCAATATTTCTAAAGCAATACACTAAATTTTTCGATGACTGTAGATCCTTGCATTGTCTAATGTTTACAACGTACCCGTGGATATATATCAGGCCAATGGATCCATCATAAACATTGGAGAGCAGTACGATGTAGAAAATAAGATAAGATTATCTTTTCATCAATATCAGTATGCCCTCGGTAACCATTATAATTCGTTAAGACCGGTTCATGATACAGATACGCAATGAAGGTAAAATTATTTTAGCTTCTCAATTTGAAAATACTATAGAATTTATTCATCAGTTTGTAAGCAGATTTTCGGATCATCAATTACAGACGCCGAGATCGTATGTGTAGCTGTAAAGGTAACAGTTTTATCTGGTGGAGCTACTTGAAATGTTATTAAAATGTGTCAAATACTGTGGTAACTATTTTTTACGTAAACGCGTGATACTCCTATATATTTAGTTGTATACAAGATAATCCATTTAAAAATGAAATAAGATATATTAATTATTTATAATATAAAATAAAAGATTGAATATACTATATTCTTGTTGACAAGAGCCTGTAAAACGAGTACTGTATTGTATAACATAATATATGCAGTACAATATCCACCCGTCCGATATATGGTGCCGATGCACTAGTTTAAAATGCAAAATTGCTTTCCAATGACGATGAAATCACGTCTGTGTTTAGTGTACAGTTTTTGTACGTAAATATTTCGTATAGGCACTTGTGCGTTATGGCTATGCTATCGCCTTAATATTTTCAATGACACCCATCAGGTCCGTTATGATAATGTAAAAATATGTAAAAGCAGCCAACTGCAGATTTCGATAAATACCGCAGACAAAGCCTTCATTGCAATTGTATGTTTTATTATAAAATTGTATAACATATACAATAAGTGATAAAGTAGGTAGGTATATGCAGTATGATAAATTATTGTAAGACTAAAAACAAATTCGCTATAATTAATGTGATTACTATGCTACTTTTATTATATTAGCTGAACATTTCAGCAGATTCTAATATTTGGAGTCCCTAGTTATCGTAAAGACCTCATTCCAAAGAGTTGCAAAAAATATACTCAAGTTCGAGGAACTTTATTTGTATCTAGTATCTGATGTGGTACTGAAAAATTTAATATAACCTTTCGAGACTACAGTACTTGCAAGGGAGATGATATTAATAGTATATAATCCCTTGATACTTGTATTCTTTCAAGCGGTCTAGTTGAACTCTTTCACCTTGAGGTCACCAAATGTCTTCGTGACGAAGTTTTTAAACGGTGGTGTTCCCAGCAATAGGTTTGTCACTTTCAGTTTCGGATTTCGCGGGTACATCCGCTGTCTCAGAGGTTTCTTTTTCCTCTGGTTTCATTGCGGGAAATAGCAAGACTTCCTGTTGTTACAATCATAAGATATAGATATAATCAAAAAGAAAAGGCATTATTCTTATTATAATTATAAGATTGAAAAACTATATTAGTGATGAGGTTAATAGTATCTATGCACGTACCTTAATGTTGTTAGAATCGGTCAAAAACATTACTACGCGATCAATTCCCATTCCCCATCCTGCAGTAGGTGGCAATCCGTATTCCAACGCAGTGCAAAAATTTTCATCAACGAGCTGAGCTTCATCATCACCGGCAGCTTTATCCTAAAGAACAAATCACATATAATGAGATAGAAACTAAACCTTACAAATTATCGGAATGTTTATCGCTAGACCTAAATAAAGCACAGCCTATATTAAATAATAAATATACCTTAGCTTGCATCATAAATCTTTCCCTTTGGACTATAGGATCATTTAACTCCGTGTAGGCGTTAACAATTTCCTTTTTACACATAAACAACTCAAAACGTTCAGTTAGTCCTGGACATGAGCGGTGCCTAATATAATAGAATTATAGGCTATTAATCAAACATTTTATTATACTATATTTGCGTTCGGAAATAACTCCAGAGCTAACTCACCATTTAGATAAAGGGCTCATAATTTCCGGATGACCAACTATATACGTTGGATTTATACATTGGGATTCAATATATTCACCAACAAGCTAAATAAATTAATTAATCATTTCTTTATTACTGACGTAAATAGCTTGCTAGAGAAGCTAGTAGTTTACATCTATGTAGCAGATGTTATAATAAATGGAAAAAATAAAATTTAAAATTTACGACACTTCCTAGAGAGAAATCGTATAACCTTATCAAGAAGCCTAGCCGTAGTTCGCGGAGGATTACACTCAACTCCTTGCTTATCGCATAGATCGGAAAGGAACTGTCTAGTCTCTAGATGGTAAAATACAACGACGAAATAAATTACAATATATAATACTATAATTACGGTTAGCTATTTAAGTAACGATTGCAATATTGACCTTCTGTATGCAATTCGGTTGCCGCAGGAAATTTAACCTTTAAAACATTCTCTAATTCCTCTATCATGTTTACTCTCCGGAAAGGAGGAGTAAAATCTACCGTCCACGTCTCCCCTTCAGGTCCATCTGGGTGGTACTCAATTTGGTGACTTCCTCTAACTGATTTGACCATACCTATGGATTTGAACAATAAAGTAAGACAAGGCATATGCGTAAAATTTACAATTAAAAGTGATACCGATTTTTCATTGAGATAAGTTTAAATTTTATAATCCTTTTGTTACCGTGCAATAGTTGTTCCGTTATAGACATTAAATCGGTGTAATCTGCAAATGCCATGTAAAATTCGCACGAAGTATACTCGGGATTGTGCGTTAAATCGATTCCTGTAATGTTAACGAATGTATCTTAACTACTACGATAACTATCATTTCGTAATGATACGAATGCATTATCGATCGTTACCTTCATTTCGAAAGTTTTTTCCAATTTCAAACACACGATGCAAACCTCCAACGACTAGTTCCTATGAATGAATGGTATCTGATTATTTTGAGACTATAAAGAAAAATTAAATTATTAAATCACGGACAAGTATACCTTTAGATAAAGCTCTGGAGCTATCCTCAAGAATAAATCCATATTTAAATCATTGTGGTGAGTGATGAATGGCTTAGCTGTAGCACCACCAGCAATAGCGTTCATCATCGGGGTTTCTACCTATTTTTGACAATTAAGCGTTCAATGAATGACTTCTACAGACTAGAATAACTAATTAAAATAAAATAGATTATCACCTCCAAAAATCCCAGATTCATAAAATATCGTCGTATGTATTCGATTATCTTAGCGCGAGTAACGAACTTAGAACAGCTAACCGAATTAATCATAAGGTCCAAGTAACGTTGTCTAAATCGTGTTTCCTAAAATGTATATATACACAGCCAATAAGCAGTTATATAGAATGATAAAGTCAGTGAATCCCATCCTTAAACACAATACTTTGTGGAGAGTTTTTACCTTGTCCTTAACACCAAAGTGTAAGTGAGGCATCATGTGTAGGCATGGAGACAACAGTGTTGTTTCAGTAGGTATGATACTAAGTTCACCTTTCTTAGTTTTACCTAGGGAAGCCATAGCAATGATGCAGACAAAATTATTCACCTTATTTTTGTGGTAGTTCATTTTTAATAATTTTGTACCAAGTTCACTGACCTGGATTGCCCTTGAAGCCAACAATGTCACCTCGCCTGATATTTCCATTAACTTCTAAGAAGTCCTGCTGGCACTGTCTACATTATACAACGTGTTTATAAATAAGAACACGGTTGAAAATTACTAGACCTACTTGTAACCGGTTTGTTAATGGGTTAATGACATGTAGAGGTTAGCAACTATTCCTATTTACCTAGCATCAGCCATAACCTGAACTTTAACACTATCTGCTCTTAAATCGTAAAAAATCAGTTTCTGGCCGGACGCCCTCTTGGCGTAAATTCTACCTGTATAATTTTTTGAATAATATTACAGTAAATGTAAAACCTCCACATTAAGAACAATTGTCTTTGATAGCTATTTTTCCTGTATCCTTAATTGTACTATAACGGCAAACCTGCAATACTGACAACGTCTTCCGATCGATCGCCAGGTTGTAGAAGATTGTATTTCTCAATGAAGCGTGGCAAAGATATTGAGACATGAAACTTGTGCGGATAGGGATGATTATCCGAATTTTTTAGCTTGGCAACAGCTTGACTTCTTATCTTGAAGTATTGCTGTAGATAAATAGTGTATGCTATCATATCACCAGTATGCATAGTAAATTTGTAGTGGTAAGATTATTAAGAAAATTTCAACTGTAGAATACTGGCATTTACATTAGGATCAAGATTTTCTTCATCAGCTTCGGCGCTCGTCTGTTTGGCATCCTTTGGTTTGCTTTCAGGTTGCTATAAAGTAGTTGCACAATATATAGTTTAAGCTTTATGGATATTTCATTCTAGTACTATTGTGAAAGACTTTAATTTGTCAAGGGTACGTTATAGTAACAGGGCAAACCTTGCTGGCTGCTTTAGCTTCTTTCTCTTTCTGTTTCTTTTCAGCTTTCATCCTTCTCTTTAATTCACTATTTGGATATCGAAAAAATCAGTTAATGGCGTTTGCTTCCACTGAGAGAAATGGATAAAATGATATATGCGGTAAGCTATGATGTTTTAAGTGTATCTGATAGACCGGTCAATGTATATATCGTACATTGCCATTAACTACAGAGCAAAATGTTGGCAAGTTACAGGTAGAGATACAGACTGTAGTTTATTAAATTGTTACGAGTTATATACTCTTTAACAGTGTATATACATGGTCTACAAAAGATCAAGTACAGTTCTCAGTTCACTTTAAGGATAAGAGGGTTTTTGATAGCTTTTTGAAATGCGATTTTTGATTTTGAAGAATTCAATGGGGTTATTGGCAAACTTGCTACAGTTGAAATATAAACTCATCTATCATGTAGCTTAACAGATGATCCCACTTCGGATCATCATTCCTTATCGAGGTCTAAATCGTCGACATTGACCAAGTTATGGATATCGATCACATTTTACAGTACAGTCTAACAATGACGCAATTTCTCGGTCCATGGCATAACAGTATATGATACCAAAATGACACATTACAGCATAGCGTTCTCCAAACCACAATAGACGTATTGAGCGATGCAAGTACGAAAAATTCTTCCGACTGTATTTTACGGTAAAAAGGAAGTTGAGATGGAATTGAATATGCTGCTAACATGGAATAGCCACTGTAAATCTAGGGAACGGCAGATGGAGCCAAAATAAATTGGATTCATGTCTGGGGAGGAATTTTTTTGACAGTTTATTCCGATCACAATCTGTACAGCACCCATTGCCATGAATGGTATTTGTGCAGTAGGGTTGGTTTACACTACATCGTTGTAATTTGTACATGATTGTAAAAGTAAGCTTCTACCTGACTGTCAGTGCATCTTGATATTGTATATAAATAATGATAATATGACTTTGATTGAGGATTTACCCGCGGTTGTCCATGAATGCCCAAGTACGAGCAATATGGTACATTGACAAGTAAACTCCATTAGTGAGTGAACCATGTGTCGTTGTGGAGTGATTTAATGGAAGTCATGTACAGGGCATCGGATTGACATTACCGGTAGGATTTTTCACTGTTGGAAAGACGAAGTGTTGCCGACACATGTCGCAGCTTTATTAAGAGATCCTTTTCATGCATGAAGGCTTCCTTTCAAATTGAATGTACATCTCTTTGGGTTAGTATTTCAGTCAATAAGTGGAAAATCTTGGCAACATGAAGCTTTCATTGTGGCATCACTATCAATTTTTGTATAGTACAGACTGGCAAAATACGTAGGAAGCACTACTGATCCTATCGCGGAGACTATCAAGCCAATTGAATGTTTTACCCCAATGGCATGGAGATGAAAGGAGGACAACTATTGTGTCAATACGCACTATGTAGCTCGGTGCAGTATTTCAATGGAGTCTTTTCTCATGTATTAGACGACTAAGCTATGTGTCTTTCTTCCATCGTATAGTATCGCCATTTAAACTCGATTCAAGACCATTTTGAACGGCGTAGAATTGAGATTGTATTGAAATTATCCAACTTACTTTTTACTCAATTTCTCTGATTGATTTTCGTCTTCCGCCATAGTCAATCCACGTGTGCCGCCGCCTGCAGATGGAGGAAATGGGCAATGGCCAGTCGGCAAGACTCGCAGTAATTTCAACTGTCTACAACAGTATGTGCCTGACAGTACTGTACTGGACTTACCCCTAACCACGGTATTAGTCAAGTAATGAGGTATTCGCCTGGCTAAAACGTTCATGTATCCCGTTGGTGAAGACACACCAGGCTGTTACCATGGTTTAAGAGTACGAGTGAGGCGACTGAAGTGTCACGTCGCTGCACGTCGTACTTGAAGGAAGAAGTGACGTCGCTACAGCCGGAGAATGGCAGCGATTAGTCGAACCACGGCTGGTCATTTCACTATACCGAAAGACCAGAACCGTACACTTTACACCATACTGTATGCAATCCACTTCGCAGCCTACTCAGCCATAAGACCACTCGAAGATCTGGATCGGACCGAACCCCACCGGACACTCCCCTCGGATAGACGGACTTTCAATACTAGAATGGCAGCGATTAGTCGAACCGCTGCTGGTCATTTCGCTATGCCGAAAGACCAGAACCGTACACTTTACACCATACTGTATGCAATCCACTTCGCAGCCTACTCAGCCCATAGACCACTCGAAAGACCTGGACCGGACCGAATCCGACCGGACACTCCCCTCGGATAGACGGACTTTCAATACTAGAATGGCAGCGATTAGTCGAACTGCTGCTGGTCATTTCACTATACCGAAAGACCAGAACCGTACACTTTACGCAATACTGTATGCAATCCACTTCGCAGCCTACTCAGCCATAGACCACTCGAAAGACCTGGGCCGGACCGAATCCGACCGGACACTCCCCTCGGATAGACTGACTTTCAATACAAGAATGGCAGCGATTAGTCGAACCGTGACTGGTCATTTCGCTATGCCGAAAGACCAGAACCGTACACTTTACACCATACTGTATGCAATCCACTTCGCAGCCTACTCAGCCATAGACCACTCGATAGACCTGGATCGGACCGAATCCGACCGGACACTCCCCTCGGATAGACGGACTTTCAATACTAGAATGGCAGCGATTAGTCGAACCACGGCTGGTCATTTCACTATGTCGAAAGACCAGAACCGTACACTTTACACCATACTGTATGCAATCCACGTCGCAGCCTACTCAGCCATAGACCACTCGATAGACCTGGGCTGGGCCGGACCGAATCCGACCGGACACTCCCCTCGGATAGACGGACTTTCAATACTGTACCCAATGAGGCCGAAAATGTCGAAAAATAATCACTCAGTATACCATAGATTTTCCGTATCTGTTTTCGAAATCATTGGTATTCATTGAAATAACATGGATCATCTAAGTTACTACTTCCAAGCAGAGCTACACTGTACTGTATAGTATTTATAGGAGTTGTTCTTTCAGGTGGATCCACAGAGCTTAGTAACAGCCAATGGGATACAAATGTAATATTACTTCATTTACAAAAAATCAGTCAATTCAAAATCCACTCTCGTTATACTAAAGTCTCGCCATAACCAAGTCTTTGACACAATTTACTGACGAAATGAGGCCAAATGGCTGTCCACCCAACAACTCAGGGTGTACTGTGTAGGACATTACTAAACATTAGAATTGTGTTCTTTCGGTCAGCGAAGTGATAGGACTTAGATAGGACGTTAAGCTAATCCCCACCATTTGTACAGTACTAAAAGGAAAGAGAGGCCAACGGCCTTTCAGTACAACATAATCCTAAGGTTGACTACGTTTCTGGCCATTCTACTAAAAGCTATCACTCAAGTCGTAGAGTACACTTTACAAAACCGTTTCTAGATGGATACTATATTTCTGGAATTCAAGTGGTAGCCACTGCATACAAATCTCTCAAATTAGTACAATTCACTATCTCCAAACTACAGCAGTTTATGGCGATGTGACTTTGTAGAGCATAGTTTTGCTGATGTTGAGTGTGATGAGATACAACTTGATTGTTGGCTTAAGAATTACTGTACACATTATGCGTGAATAATTGTCGTATTTTTTTATAGAGAAACTGCTACAGATAGAAGAAGCACTAATCCTAATGTGCATTATGGTAAAGCAATGAAGACATCAATCAATTGAGTAAAAGTTGACCACTGCTGTAGAACTAATGTAGATGGAGTAATCACCAAGTCCAAGAATCCTCATCATTTCCTTTTTAGGTATACAGTAGATATTTTGGTATCAGTACCTTATCAATACTGTAGCACTATACAGTATGTATAAGAGAAAATATATATCGGTTGTACATATTTTTCGAGCGTTAGTGTTTGCTCATGATTAATGGTAAAAAAATGGGAGTATAGATCATATGCTGTAATGCAGCGGATTATATACTTATATAACATAATTGAATGATAAATAGATATGGATAGAACTCGAGATAACTGCTATTTCAGACGATATGCATACATGCGTATGGATGTCGTTGAAGGCTTGATAAATTGTAAAGTTTACAGCTAAATCAAGCAAAATTATTGTACATTATCCTGATTCCAGGATTTTTCCGAATATTGATGATTGTTATTTACAAATCATACACTTTAGAGGTACCTTTAATGGGTATCTGATAACTTGTGCACGGTGCACGAGCATGGTATACGTACATTAGTAAATAATAATTGGATGATGTATGTATAGATACAGTATATGATGAATAGCACATACACACCTGTACAAGGCCTAGAACAAACTGAAAATTCATATCAGTTGATTTCCTTTACATTATAAAACAGAACAATGTATATAATTTATCAATATCATGAATAGTATTGAAAGGGACATAATTAAATATTATTATAACCGGTATACATCAATAATTCAGATTTATCGTTGGAAATCACCAATTCTACTTTTATCTACACTTGAATCGTACGGTCGTTTTCTTTATCGATGTAGTAGAATTTACAACCTTAGTTAGAATAGCAGCTCCAAGGCCATAAGAGATTTACAAATGATGATTCAATTTCAGGAAGCAATGAATTATATGGATAGATAAACTAAACTTAAATTATGATGTACAGTAAATGGTACAGTAGTATATAAGAGTAATAAAGAGCGACTAAGGTTCAGTCATACAAGAACAATACAGTATAAATACCATCATAGATGTGTATACATGTAATTATAGCTACCTAATTGTTGCATATAAAATCATTACCTTACAAACTGTTTATGATAATCAATGTCTTTTAAAGGTCTAATGAAATTGTAAAAATTTCTTACTCTAGAATGTTAAATCTAAAAATTGGTAGGAAAATAGAATTAATAATCATATACAAAAGGCAGAGGAATGGACTTGTTGCCACACTTAAGAAGGTAGTGTTACAAAAAGTGATGTGGACGAATGTAACATTGCTATGAAATTGGAATAGTAA